ATGTGTGTTCAAGTGGTGCATCTTATGAATCTTGTTAAGCTTTGCTGCCTTATAGCCCCACTGATGGAATATTTAATCACAGAAATGAGTTGGCAGATATGATATACAATGTGGGTGAGCTTTGCAGTGTGTATCTTACTGGCAATTGAGAAACAGATAAATTTGCCATTTGTCAGCACCATGCTGACAACCCTGTATAACCTTCTGTTATTTATTTTGATTTTGCTTTACTTATTTATGAAGATTAAAGGTGCTTTAAATCAACAGTTTCATTGGCTAGATAATGTGATTATCTCTAAAAGATACTACTTTAAAAATATATATATTTATTTTTTTATTGGAAGACAAGGGAGATTATCAAAATGTAAGAATCCCTTCTGAGGCCTCTTCTTCCAGACTCTTAGAAACACTATTTTTAATTACATTAAATAACATGAGGCCTGCTTCTAGTATGAATAATCTCAGACAGTCTACTCCTCCTTACTGACTTCAATTTTACATGAACTCTGAAGTAGAAGGGCTATAGACACTGGCTCAAGGCTTCATGACTCACCTGGACGTGTGTGTGGGGATGTAAAATTATTTGTCTTCAGTAAGCCTCAAGGACTGTGGAGATGATTAGACTTAGGAGAAATTATCAATGCTGTTGCAGCTTTATAGAAAACCACCCATCTCTGCTGGGAGAAGGTTTACCGTAATAGATGGCATGGGATGTGCTGATATATGTGTATCTGCTCTGAAGACTGGTATGGAAAAACATTTAAAAGGGTTTTCATAAGTATGACTTGATGAGAATTCAGAAAAAAAATGTTTTATAAGAGCTTTCTCAATGCTTCCTCTGGAATGCATATGTGAGGGAAAAGAAATGTCATAATTTATCAAAGCAAATAGTAATTAAAGGTCCTCACTAAGAAGTGCAGTAGCTCTTCCTGCTTCTGCCCTGAGTTTGCAATAAAAACGTACTCAGGGCATCAAAAGGTTACATACAAAAATCACTAACTTGTCTTTTTTTTTTTTTTTTCTGAGACAGACTTTTGCTCTTGTCACCCAAGCTGGGCTGCAATGGCCTGATCTCTACTCACTGCAAACTCCGCCTCCTGTGTTCACGCAATTCCCATGCCTCAGCCTCCTGAGTAGCTGGGATTACAGGTGCGTACCACCACACCCGGCTAATTCTTTTGTACTTTTAGTAGAAACAGGGTTTCAGCATGTTGGCCAGGCTGATCTCAAACTCCTGAGACCACCCACCTCTATCTCAAGTGATCCACCCACCTCAGCCTCCCAAAGTGCTGGGATTACAGGCGTGAGCCACTGTGCCTGGCCAGTAACTTGCCATTTTATAATTGAAAAAATAAATAGTAAGAAAAAGTCTACTAAATTAGGAAAATTACCTTTAGAAGAGATAGAAAATATTGATTTTAATTTAAAAAACAGGTGAACTTTTCATGCCCCATTCTGGGAGACAATTGGAGACTGGGTTGTTAATTCTGCATAAGCTTCATTATGTATCATAATGATACTATGGGGATATTATAAAATATGCCATTAACACACAACCTTATATGGAGAAAGGAGTAATAAGTCCTACTTTCTATCTTAAGCAGATACAGCACCAGCCAACTAAAAATACAAAGCAAATCAATGACAAGGTCTTCATTTCAGCTTTGAGGCATACTCAGAACTGCCAGATAAACTCAGACTATTTCTATAGCTGGGGAAATTTAAAATGCCCCATAAATTCTTAGTCATGGAAATGTAGATGCATGACAGCAATAATTATACCTGGATATGGAAATGAATGCACTCTGCACCCATCACTATGCACAGGTCTTATTCCATAGATGCAGGTGCCTGAAACTTTAGATTTAAGCTAGCTGCTTTCGGCATTTGCAGGTCTTCAACTATGTCATCAGAATTGCTCTGCAGTGTTAACATTGCTGCAACATTTCCTCACATTTCTGAATATCATGAGCTCCATCTACATACAACTGGACAGTTGAAAAGAGGCAAGCATGTGGATTTTCCAGATAATCCGGATAGTGGCAGCATGAAACACAAATACTCGGATTTCTGAGGTAAGACTTGCGAATGTGGTTGTGGTAGTGGCAGCTGGAGTAATACAGAATGAGTATGTTACCTCTCTGCCTTCATTTCACTGGTTTGCACACAGCAGTAGCATGATCATAGGAGACAGTCAATAAGACTGTCCTTTAATATTTAATAATATCTGATCATGACCTTTAATATTTAATAAAACAATGAACAGGTTGGGTGCCTCACCTGAGGTCAGGAGTTCCAGACCAGCTTGGCCAATATGGTGAAACCCTGTCTATACTAAAAAATACAAAAAATTAGCCAGGCATGGTGATGGGTGCCTGTAATCCCAGCTACTGAGGAGGCTGAGGCATGAGAATCACTTGATCCCGGGAGAGGGGAGGTGGCGGTTGCAGTGAGCTAAGATCATGCCACTGTACTCCCGCCTGGGTGACAGAGCAAGACTCTGTCTTAAAAAACAACAACAAAAAAAGTATCAACTGTTTGTAAATAACACAAGTTCTGAGATAATCAAAGCCTGGTTTCAAAATCTGGCCTGCTCCTAATCAGCTGTGAAATCTAATATCAGTAATTCCAACTTTTTGTATTTTGGTTTCCTCATTTGGAAAATCGCCATGCGGGTGAAATACGTTAAACTTACATACAGTGCTCACAACAGTGCCTGGCCCACAGAGAGTATCCCGTAAATATCAACTTAAATTACGACTTTTTCTCTTCTTCTAACCTAATGATCAAACCTCCGAAGCTGGGCTCCAGGCTAATCCGAATAGTTGCTCTAATGTTCTGCAAGTCATGCAGATTAATTTCTTCTTATGTGCATAAATCAGTTTGAGCTGTTTCTCCTGTCTTAATGTCCTTTTGAAGACCCACAGATATGTTTGTGGCTTTGAAAGCGTAAGTTAAAGGAGATATTTGGTATTTTCTGGCTTAATAGACCCAAGGGTGCCTGACAACCCCATTCCACAGGACCAGAAACATTTTAATATGCATTTCTCCCTCTTCACCGCAATGCACACATCCATACCCTTCCTTCCCACAAGGAGACTTCTGGCTTCTTGTTCTCGAATCTACAATTTTAGGCTGAAAATATGCACCCAGATAGGTGCACGTAGTCAGAGAAACTGACATTTCTTTAGTCTAACTACTCTATTCATGGGGCAGTGCCTGCTGCAGAGACATGGAAGCTGCAGCCTGACTTTTCAACCATCTGGGGGATTTGATTTCCTTGGAGCTTTGCACAAATACGTATCTTGGCAATACCTGCCAAGTTCTGTGTGTCCCCTGAATATGCTGCCATGCCCCTGAGCCCAGAAATTAACACCCCCTAAATGAACACACTGGGAACTAATGGACTAGTACTCTCATGAAGAAAAGAATCTCTTCATCTCATAGCATACTCTGAATTCAGTAGAATCAGTTCTCAACTAAATTTCCCTTCTTGCCAAAGACATTAACATCCTCGCTTTTATTTACTAAATGTTTACACAGTGCTGGCTACATCCAACTCTTCCTGTATCAACCCATTTAATTCTAATAAACACCTACACGTTTGTTACCATCATCTCCATTGAACAGATGAGGAAACTGAGGCACAGAGAGGTTAAGTAACTTGCCCAGAGTCACACTGCTGGTGAGTAGGGGAGGCAGAATTTGATCCTGGGCTGTGTGGGCATGGATTCCATGTTCCTCACTCAGCCAGAGGTGTCTTCTCAGGAGGCAGGATTCCCAATATGATCACGGAAAGCCTGGCAGCTAAGTGTCTTTCCCTTTAAGAGTGAACACAGCTATTCCGCAGTGTTAGAATCCCTGGACTTGGCCCAGGCTCCTGAAAAAACTCGCACAGGAAGCACAACTGCAAACACTGTCTACGTACAATCAAGAAATCGGTTATCCTGTTAAGCCTTTCCAGATTTACCACATTTTTTTTTTAACTTAAATTTGATCAGACTGGTTGTTGTACCACAGCAGCTAAGTTTTCTATGTTCCCTTGTCATCTAGGAGGGTCAGTGTTTAGGATCAGGAAAACGATGAAAGCTAGGCAGCCCAGGAAGAAACAAAGCAAGGGGGTATGACTTACCGTCAAGCGGTTACTAAGTGAGTGGCTCTAGATCAACAGATTATATATTTTTCCTTATTAAAAAGCAGAGAGCCACATCAAAGACTTCTTTTTAATATCCATGTGGCAAATCGACTACTAAGGTCCTAGGTATTCAATGCAGCCTTGTTCATGAGCAAGGAGACATACAGGCAGTAGTGTGGGCCCAAGCCCAGGACGGCGAGACATGAAATCTCAGCCACTACTGCTTCTGGGTTATGCTCTCCCCAAATTTCTAAGAGAATGGATTTCCTGGTTGAGAGGTAACTAGTGCTTAGGCAGGGAAGAGGTGAGGAGAGACATATTCTGGAAGGCAAAGTAGAGAGAAATGGAATTGCTAAGGGAAACTGATTAATGAACAAAGACAGACAACTTACTATTTAGGTATCTAAATAGGCTTTCCCTTGGCAATTCCAAACCCCTCCCTGCATCACTGGAGTAATTAAGCCAACTCAATTCTCTGCTTTGCCAGGAAAAAGAAAGTGCAACCCCAGATGGAAACGTATGGCGAAAACACACATTCAGGCACACTGAAATACAGTGAGCATCAGCAGCTCTCCATTTGTTCAATACTTTATTGAACAAAATCACAATGCTTTTTTAGGGCAAAATCAATGTGAATTGTCCTAAGGAGCAGTGGCTCCATGCTGCCCCCTGCAACCATGAAACTTACACAATTCCCTTTAATTTTTAAACTGTTTTAAGCACTCTTGATTTTGCCCAAAGAAATCATTCAGAACATGTTAGGAAATTCACTCGCTACAGGTTATTTTACAAAACCCATTCTTTCTTGGCAGGCAAAGCACATTTAGAACACGCCAATCAGACTTCGTGCAAAGAGTGTCTTTACCTGCATAGAATTCGGGACTGTAGACTGCACCCACAACTGGATTCAATTTCCAGCCTTAAAACAAATAGACAAAAAACATGATCACATTTGATTGAACAACTTATATCATTGCAAATTAATCACAAATCAAATGGGGTAACGTATCTTAGGTTGTATTTTAAAATGTAAAGGAGATGTCATTTGGACATGCATAAAACTATTTAAAAACTATACAGATGAAAATAGATTCATAATATTTAAAAACTATAAGTAAGAAAATAGATTAATGCCCTTCCTTGATTTTCTGCCAGTGCAAGTTAATGGGATGGAAACCACTGACCAGTCACAAGTGAACACTTTGAAAATGACATGGTAAGTAATTTTCTACTATATCGATATTTTTTAGCACTGTAATTTCAGTTTTTTGTCTTATTTCATATATCACTCCTAGATAATCCATCACACCCTTCTGCATTAAGTTCACAAAAACAAGAAAGCTTGTATAAACGAAATTCTGAGCAGCAACAGACTCTAACAATTGTCATTCCTAATTATAACTCCTAGATACTAGAGAATTCCAAAGTGCTTTGTGAATACCAAAGAAAATGATATTTTTATCTCCTAGAGATTTACTGCAGAATATGTTTTAATGCATTCAGGAACTGTAAAAAATTCTTAATCAATGCATGATATCTAAGGTAACTTTCAAATAACCTGTATATATGATTAATGGAATTCTGTAATTTTCCAAATGTTCTGGATGGAGAGTTTCCTATAAAATGAATCTGGACCCTTTAGAAATCTTTACTCAAAAAGGGGCATACAATAATATTCACAAATTGGAAAGCATATTATGTATACATTGGACATTATTTAGGAAACAGTTTCCAGAGAATGAGCACGTTTTAGGGTTTTGTGATTGTTTCCTGCTCTTGCTGATTAAGTTTTTATAAAAACACCTATGCAGACCAGGTGTGGTGGCTCACTCCTGTAATACCAGCACTTTGGGAGGCTGAGGCAGGTGAATCACAAGGTCAGGAGTTCAAGACTAGCCTGGCCAACCTAGTGAAACCCCATCTCTACTAAAAATACAAAAAATTAGCTGGGTGTGGTGGCAGGTTCCTGTAATCCCAGCTACTTGGGAGGCTGAGACAGGAGAATTTCTGGAAACCAGGAAGTGGAGGTTGCAGTGAACCAGGATAGCACCACTGCACCCTAGCCTGGATGATAGCGAAAGACTCCGTCTCAAAACAAAACCAAAATATAAAAACATTCAAGCATGCTGGGTACAATGGATCGTGTCTGTAATCTTACCACTTTGAGAGGGTAAGGCAGGCAGATCACTTGAGGCTAGGAGTTCAAGACCAGCCTGGCCAACATGGCGAAACCTTGTCTCTACTAAAAATACAAACTATTCCAGAGGATAAGGCATGGGAATCACTTGAACCTGGGAGCCAGAGGTTGCGGTGAACTGAGATCACGCCACTGTACTCCGGCCTGGATGACAGACTATCTCCCCACCAACCCCCAAAGAAAACAGCCTACACAATCCTTGAAAGACAGGAAGGTAAGATGTGTACTCTTTTTCTGAGTCCTTGAGCGGAGGGTCAAATACCAAAGATCCTTTAAAAAATGTTTCTGAGAAAAGGCAATGATAAAGGTTTGAATGTGAATGAGGTTGGTTTTTTTTTTTTTTTTAATTGTACTTTAAGTTCTGGGGTACATGTGCAGATGTTGCAGGATTGTTGCATAGGTACATAGATGTCATGGTGGTTTGCTGTTCTCCATGCCCTGGTTACCTACATCAGGCATTTCTCCCAGTGTTATCCCTCCCAAACTTTTTCTGAGGTTTGCTAAGAAGGGAGAGATGTGACTTTCTGCCTGGTCTAAGAAATAGCCCAGAGGTGTTCCTAGTGTCTATTGAGGAAAACAGAGGCCGGGTAACTCAATAGACAGGCCAGTACATCTACTGAAATCGAGAACTTTCTAAAACTTGATAAGAATGTTTTCTAAGAACTTTCAATTCCAACTTGAATAAGTTAGGTGGTTTACAGCCCCTGCGATGACCTTAGAGTACTGAGTTTTTCAACGTGTTATACTTCGATTACCTGGGAGACATATTTAATTTCTGGACCGCATTTTTAGACAGAAAGAAACATAAAATTCTGAGACCTACTGCCCTGGCAGTTTCTGCAGTTTCTTATTGACACCCTCCTCTCTTCGCAGTAATCACATCTTGCCTTATAAGAATTTCTATACTGATGTAAAAATAAATATTAGTTCAGACATTTCAGAATGTGTTTTGAGTATCGCAAAAAGACTTCAAATTGACCAACTGAAATTCCACAGCTTCCTTTTTTTTTTTTTTTTTTTTTTTAAAAAAAGTCCAATTCCTGAAGATATGGGAATTAATGTCTACATTTCAACTTGGAGTTTAGGAAAAACTATAGAAAACTAGTCGAAAATTAAGCTGCAGACCTATTTAATGTTCCTGTCTTTCTAGTTTTTCACAGACACCTAGAATTTGTGAAGTCAATCTATGTGAAGTCATATTAAATGAACAATTATTAAGCGATCATTCCTCTTCATCTTCCCACCGTTCCCATCTCATACTCTACTGATGTTCCTACCTCTTATTGGTAGTGGAGATGGTGCCTTTTCCATACTCTTCACCTCAGGTTTTGTTTCTTGAATATCCTTACTACCTTAAATACTTTGCTTTGCATATAAGACTTCCTTTTCCTTTTCACTGAAGGTATACTTATTAATGAATTGCGGTGTAACTCTTAAAGATTTTATCTTTGCCAATGGCCTCTCATTTTCCAAAAACAAAGCAAAAAAGTCCAGATCTCTCAGAGGCTTCTGAAGCTGCCTAGAAATCATGTTTATCTCATTCGGCCTACCTACCTATCCATCTATTACTCACCTATCTATAAACTTACCTATCATCTGTCTATTCGCCTGTAATCTGCTGTTTATTTCCATCTTTCTGTAAATTACGAGTTTGCCAAGTCTAACCATGGCAATGTCTGTCTTCATATAAAAATAATAGAAAATAAATGATACTCTCTCTCCTCAGGAGATCTGTGTTATCTCATGTTCGCAAGTATCAATTGTGAGAAAGGTACTGATAGAGTCTCTTCTACAGGAAACCAACTGGGAATCTGCGTGCTGCAAAATGAAATGCTCGGGTCATCATGAGAACATTAGTGCAGGTGCCACCTTCTTCCCATCCTTGATCCCTTCTCTTAAACAAGGCTACCCAACTCCCACTGTAGGAAACCAAAGGCCTTTCCGAACTCTATGGCAGGCGTGAAAACCCAACTTCCAGTTTCCCTCTTCCCCTACTCATAAAACCTGTTACTCAGCGAATCCTTCTCCCTTCAAATGGCATCCCCATCCACTTGGTTGCGCAAAATAAAATGCTTCAATACTTCCTTGATTCTTCTCTTACCCTGGTACCCCATGTGCAATCCATTAGAAAGTCCTGTTGGTTAAAACTGGAAAAGTTCTTCTCTCCTTCTCCATTGTCATCACTGCAGACCAAGGCATTCCCCTATCTGCCTGGACAGGTCCGACAGCAAAAAATGCCCTAACCCTCACTATCTCCTCTTCCACCCTCCCTCTGTCCATTCTGGTCATGGTGACCAAAACAATTTTTAAAAAGAACATCAGTTTTGTCATCCTTGTACTTGGAATGCAACAGTTCCTCCCGAACTTAAGCACGAATATCTTACCTTAGTCAGTAAGCACAAGCTAACTGTTGACTAAACTGTTTGGTACCCCTTTGCTACCAAGTCCCTTTAATTCCCTGTTCCCTTCTCTCCCAGCTACAGTGACACTGGCCATTTTCACCTTTATAACCCCACCCCACCAAGATCACTGTATAACAAAGTCTTTTTGTGTACCCACTTCTCCCTCTTCTTGGAGAACTCCCTCTATCTCTTCACAAAGTCAACGTGATGTTATTTAGGTCTCCGGAGTCTTTTCAGAACATGCGACTTATTCATGTCATTTTCCCACCTCCTCTTAGAGTTACTCTTTGATTCCACTATTCCATTCCCAGTTGTATTTTCTGCACTGCCATTAATGCTTTGTGGATTTAGATACTTTCTTTCTTTGCTTGCTAATAATTGTCTTTTATAACCATTCTCCCTCATTTAAATTAACGGTAAAGCAGGCAAGACTGCAGTCCAACATGAATCTCCAGCATCTAAAATGATGTTGGGCAAAATAAGAATTCCGTAAATATTTGCTTGGTTTTTGTCTAAAGAAACTGAAGGAATATAGTTTTTTTAAACTAAGGAACTAATTTTATTTTGGCTAAGATTATGTCTCCTTCCAATCTCCACGGACCTGCTTCATTCCGTAGACTATACATTAAATAAGAATCCTGTTGGAGGTGACTGTCATCCCAGTTGCTTAGTTGAAATCTACTTTCTTTATGGAGGTATTTATTGCCGTAAACTTTCTGATTATCACTGCTTTTGCTGTTTCCCACAGACTCTGGTATGCCCTGTTTCCATTTTCATGATCAACAATTTTTTTTTTATTGCATTTTAGGTTTTGGGGTACATGTGAGGAACATGTGAGATTGTTGCATAGGTGCACACATGGCAATGTGGTTTGCTGTCTTCCTCCCCATCATCTATATCTGGCATTTCTCCCCATGTTATCCTTCCCCGACTTCTCACCTCCCATCCCTCCCCTAGTTCCCCCGAACAGACCCCAGTGTGTGACGCTCCCCTCTGTGTCCATGTGTTCTCATTGTTCAACACCCCGCTATGAGTGAGAACATGCAGTGTTTGATTTTCTGTTCTTGTGTCAGTTTGCTGAGAATGATGGTTTCCAGGTTCATCCATGTCCCTGCAAAGGACATGAACTCATTGTTTCTTATGTCTGCATAGTATTCCATGGTGTATATGTGCCACATTTTCCCTGTTCAATCTACCATTGATGGGCATGGCGGTTGGTTCTTTGCTACTGTAAACACTGCTGCAATGAACATTCATATGCATGTGTCCTTACAATAGAACGATTTACAATCCTTTGGATATATGCCCAATAATGAGATT